CCTCTCTCTCTCTCTCTCTCTCTCTCTCTCCTCTCTCTTCCCTGTCTCTCCCCCCCTCCTCTGTTTTTTCCTGAGACAGGAGAAAGCAAGCATATGTCATATTTAATACTGAAAATAGCTTTACCTGGCGCTTCTGCTGTTTTTAGATAAGACTGAAAGTCTTATCTCCTAGCCTGACCATCCTGGGACTGCCCAGAGCAGGGGCCCAAACTGAGCAGGGCCTGGGGACCTGACAGGGAATTTTCCGTTCCTCAGAAGACAGGGACCGGTTGCAGGCTGCTGGGAGGAGGCATCCATCCGCTCACAGCCCATACCGTGGTCTCTGCCTGTGTGGCCTTGGACAGATTACTTGACCTCTCTGTGCCTCAGTTTCTCATCATTAAAATGAGGATGATGTCAGTGCTTTCCCCACAGGGTTGTTACAGAGCATAAGTGACAAACTACACAGTCCTGCCTGGATAAATGTTAGTAAACATTTGACAAATATTATTAGAAAAACTTTTTTTTGCAGTACTGGGGATCGGTGCCCTGGGCCTCACACATGCTAGTCCCCCTGTACCACAGAGCCACATCCTCAACCCATAAATATATCTTATTTCCGTTTCAATTTCATTTTTGGTTTTGTTTTGTTGAGACAGGGTCTCACTGCGTAGTTCAGGCTGGCCTTAAACTTGCAATCTTCCTGCCTCAGCCTCCTGAGTACTGGGATGCCGGGCATGTGCCACCACGCCCAGCAGGTGAAGGCTTTGGGCTCCTCAGGCGGGTCCCCCGCCCGACTCAGCTGCCCGTCTCTCTTCTCTGTCCAGGGCCAAGATCCTCTTCCTGCTCCAGCTGCTGGCAGACCGTGTCCCCGGTGGCAGCCTGGTGGCGAGTGAGTGGGCACAGCTGTGCTTCTGGGGTGTCTCAGAGCATGTGCGCAGCCTGGCTCCCTGCCAGCCCTGGCTCTCTGTCGTTTCACTCTTTGTGGCAGACAGAGGGAGTTTGCTGTCAGCTTGGGCGGATGACAGCTCCCAGGACTGAACTGGGGGCTGTGGAGTCAGGGGTGGCTGGAAGGAGGGTGTCCCATGGGCAGGGTGCTGTGATCACACAGACTGTCAGCCTTCCTCCTGCCCAGACCCCTGGAAGGCCGGTCACCGAGGAGGGAAGGCCTGCCAGCACCCCTGAGGGTCCTGGTCTGTGTCGGTGCTGCCACCTTAGGATAGAGGGGAGGCTCTGCTGGCTGCTGGCGTGCAGATGCGAGCAGCTGTGTGATCGCCTTGTCCTCCCTTTGGTTTCAGAGCCGCTCATGGATTACCTGCCTACCTGGCAGAAGATCTACTTCTACACCTGGGGCTGACAGACCTCCGGGAGGGGCGGGGTGCGGGCTGCCACTCTGGGCAGGGCCCGCCTCAGCCTTTGGTGCCCCCGGCCCTCTTTCCTAATAAAACTGACTGGCAGTGTCCAAGCCTGTGGTCTCTCCATGCCCCACCACCCAGGCCCTCCACGTAGCCGGTTCCTTGTCACCAGCAGGAAGCCTCAGCAGCTCCAGGTGCTACGAGCCACAGGAAGCTGTGCCAGCCTCCACGGTAGCCGCAGGGGACCTGCTTCTTACTGCCCCCGGTGGAGACCGACAGCTGTGCCATATGTGCCCCTGGGCAAGCCTCTGGCTGCCCTGGGCCCTGTCCCAGGATGTCAAATGGATGGGCTGTCCGGCAGTGGGCAGTACCGGGCTGGAGCAGGGTCAGGAGTAGGAGTCGAGGCTCCAAGACAAAGCTGAGCTCAGGGCATCTGAGCTCGGGTTCCCACGCTCGCCCACCCCAGCTCTGGTGGCCAGGTGGAGCCAGGCCAGCTGCTGTGGAGGGGAGAGGGCAGGGCCCGTGGCCCAAGCTTCCGTCCTTGGCGCCAGCCTGGGGAAGACCCAGCGCTCTGCAGGTCCAAGCCACGGTGACTTCTCAGGTGCTAGAGGGCTCCTGCACCCGGCTCCCCAGGTCCCGCAGGCCTTGCTACTTCCGAGGCACCTTGACCCCGTGCCTCCAGGAACCACCTGGGGCTGCAGCGCAGCTGACCATGTGGGAAGGGCCACTGTTACCCCATCGGCTCCACTCCGCGGCCTTTGGCTTATTGAGCAAGAGGTCCTGGGCCTGGGCTCCGCAGCAGGCCCTGTGCCAGAGGCTGCACAGAGGCAGGCAGAAGGTACGCTGGAGGGGTCCTGGTGACTCTGGCTTGGGGAGGGCAGGGGTGAGTGGCCGGGAGGGGAGGGCTGTGAAGTTACAGCTCGTAACAGTTTTGTTAGTTTCCTTTCTCAGGGACCCGAGCCCATGCTTTGCCTGTGCCACGTGCTGCCAAGTCATGCCCCAGCCGTTTGTTTTCACAGTACTGGGATTGAACCCAGGCCCTTCAAGCTGAGCTACATTCTGAGTCCTTTATTGTTTAATTTGAGACAGGGCCTAAGCCCCTAAGTTGCCTAGGCCAATTTGTGCTCACACTTGTGATTCTCCTGCCTCAGCCTCCCAGAGTATTGGTAGTGCAGGCCTGTTCACACACCCGGCCATCGTGTACACCGGACTTTTGGTGCGCAGCGGCTCGGCGTGGAGTAACGTGAAGGAAGAACTGCTGTGGAGGAGCAGGGATGGGGGCTGTGGGGCAGGAACAGGTGGCGCGAGGCCATGGGAGGCCAGGCCAAATGGCAGCGGCACCAGGCAGGGGACCTAGTGGCGCTCTGCTGTTGACTGGGAAGGGCCATTTGGAGAGAGCAGAGCCCGTGGAGAATGGAGTGACAGGAGAGGGCTGCGCTGTGACGCCAGAGACCGACCTGGGACCCAGGAAAGGCCACACCAGGCAGTGTCGGATGGGGAGGTCCAAGGGGACCCAAGTGACCTGGGGACTGCTGTGGATGGGGGAGGACAGCAGCCCCTAGGAGGTGAGGGGTGGAGGGGCTTCGGCATTAGGCTAGGTATGGAATTCAGGGTGCTCCCGCCTGGTGGTCCCAATTTGGAGACAGTTGGAGGGGCTGTCCTCGGTCTCGTGTGAGGGATGTGTGGGCCCAGGTGTGGGGATGGGACTGAGGGCCTCCTCTTGGGCCTTGGGGACCTAGTGGTCTCCAGTAACAGCGTTCCCAAAGCTGCAGCCATGGCTCAGCCCTGGCTTCTGAGGCCACAGATGCGGAGTGGGGCTGGGTTGTCTGACGGCTCCCCTGGTGCAGAAGCGAGCTGGGTTTCGTAAGTGGGTAGTAAGTGGGTCAGAAGCTGATCGCACACACCATAGCCCCAGCTACTGAGGAGGCTGAGGCAGGAGGATTGCACGTTCGAGGCCAGACTGGGCAACTTAGCAGAACCCTGTCTCAAAAAGGGCTGGGGGTGTGGCTCAGTGGGACCCCACAGTGAAGCAAGCCATGTGGCCTTGGTCCTACGTCTCATACTCCAGGGAGCCGGCCCAAAGCTGGCCCCTTCCTGGAAAGACCCCAACTGAGGGGTGGGGGAGCTCCTGGATCCCGCTGTTTAAACTGCAGAGAGCAATGTGCCGAAGGGGAGGAGCCTGGAGCTACCTCACCCCGGGGGTGATCCACACTGGCTTCTTAGCTGCCAGGACCTCCCTGGGACTGAGGTGCGGAGAGGCGGGAGAGGCTGTGGGGAAGGCAGGTGCTCTGGGTGGGGGCGCCCAGTCCCTCTGTTGAGGGCCTACTGCACGCATGCCCTTCCCTCACAGGAAAGGGAACAGAGGCCTGTGTGAGGCAAGGTCAGCACTTGAACCAAGATGTGACCGCAAGACCTGGGCACCGATGCCAGGACAAGGTTTGCTTTGGTGCCTCCCGGCCCGGTGTAAACCACAGCACCTGCCCTCCTGCCTCCATCAGCCCTAGAATGATGCCCTTTGTGAGGTGGCCCAGGAGGCTGGCAGCAGATTCCGAGGCTGTGTGGAGAGGGGAGTGGAACCCGAGTGCGGCCTGCTTAGAAGATGGTGCCCACCATGTTGGGGGCTCTGAACCCCAGCGCAGGGCTCAGCCTCTTCCTCCTGTACCTCACCTTGGCAGTGAGGGTTCTGAACCCCCAGCCCCTGAGGTGCTGCCCCTGTGGGACAGCAGCACCTTGTGGTTTGTGGGTCTAGGGTTTGGGGCATGCTAAGGCCAACCCCACAAAGGGAGGTAGCAGTGGCCTCCAGGGCCAGGCTGAGCACCGCAACCTCTCCCGCAGGCCTATTCTTGAGGAACTCCCAGCCTCCCTGGAGCTGTTGCAGCCATCGTCTGACCTGGTGGACGGTAGGATTCCTCTTGTGCCCATCCCTGCCATGTCCCAGTCTTGGGCAGCCTCCATCGGAGTCCTGTCCCAAACCAACCCCTCCCCCCAATTTAGACTACGGGATCCGACCCAGGCATCCGAGGCTGCGAGGGCCTCGGCCCTTCCTCTCCCAGGCCCAGCAGCGCAAGCGGGATGGGCCAGACATGGCTGAGTATTACTACGATGCCCACCAGTGACCGACGGAACCTACATAAAACTCTTGTCAGCTGAGGCTCAGGCTTTCCTGGGTAACTGAGGTGGTGCGGAGGGGCCGTGAGGACACAGGCACTGTGCTCCAGACAGGAGATGGCACTTTAATAGTCGTGGCCAGGGTGACAAGACCATGGTGGGGTTGGCCTGGGCCAGTCAGAGGCAGCCTCTCCCTGCTGGGGCCAGTGGGCCAGGGTGGCAGGTGGGAGCCATGGTGAGAGCAGAAAGCAGCGACTTCACCGCTGCCCGCTGCCATTTCCTTCCTGGAAAGTTCTTGGGAGGTGGCCAGGCTCGGCCTGAGCTCAGGGCTCTTGGTATGGGCTGGGCCAGGGGACAGTGGGCACTTGCAGGTGACATGGGCTTTGTCAAGGCAGGAGCCAGGGCCTGGGCAGGGGAAGTAAGGCCCAGGACGGGGCGGGGCCTGTGTCCCCAGGATGGACACCCTCTGCAGCCAGAGGGACAGCCCCCGCCTTGCCCCGCCCCTCCCCGGGCAGCCCCTCTGTGATCCATATGTTACAGCTTTCTTACACCATCCCCCTGCCCCCCACCCTGTACCAGCGGCTCCCACTTCCATCCTCCAGCGGTGGTGGTGTCCCTGCCGAGCAGTGCTGTCCTGTCCACAGTCCACTGCCCTGTGTGGCCTGAGGTGCAGAGGTGGCCGCTACTCCAGGTAGATGTCTTCTGTGGGGCAGGTGTACTCCACAAACTGCTTGTAGAACTGCTGGAATGCGCGCCTGCAGGGCAGGGCAGGGCAGGGCACAGGTAAGCAGGTGCGCCAGGCCCCTGGGAATGCCGGGCCCTGGCCCTTAAGGGTGGCATCGCCCCCACCCGAGGGAGGTAGCAGGTGAAGGACTCACCAGCAGTCAACAAGCCCGGAGATCCCTCACTGGATCACCCCGCTCCCCGGCCACCCGCACTGAGTGGAGCCCCATGGGTTTCCAGGGCTACGGGAGGCTGGGGGGTGGCTAGGGCCTTGGGCTGGCTCCTTGGGGACACAGGCGGGACACACACACGTACCCCACGGATTCTGCCAGGGCTTTGGTGGAGTCTTCAGACACAAAGACGTGGCAGGCAAACCGGTGGTCGGCAGGGTGCTTGGTGATGAACCCAAAGTACCTATGGGAGGACGGAGGACAGGTGTCTGTGGGGGACAGGGGCAGGGAGCCACACCCACCCCGCCGGGCTCCAGACCCAACTGGGGCCCCACCTGTGGCCCTCCACTCACTTGTTGTTCTTTGGATGGTATCCACAGAAAGAGATGTTTTTTAGCTGGAAAAAGTGGCTACATTTATTCCCCTGCAGGAGGGAGAAGAGAGGCAAGAGGGTGGTCATCAGCGGCAGGGGAAGGCGACACACACCCTGCCACGGCAGATTTAGTGGCGGGGCTGGGAGCTGGAGCAGGGGAGGCAAGGGCAGCCACCTTGGCCTCCTGGGCATCGTCGGCCTTGACGCCTATCTTCACGCCCCTCACGCTGATCTCCAGGACACAGCTGGAGGGTGGGTTAAAGCGGACCGTGAGCCGGCGGGTGGTGGCAATCTGCAAGGGATAGGGCATGTCGGGCCGTCTCTCCTGTCCCAGGCCTGGGTCCTTCAGCTTTTGCCACCTCTAGACCCCTGCATCCTTCTCCCTAAGGGACAGTGTGGCCACAGGACAGGCAGGGTGCAGGACCTGGTACCTTTTGCATAGCAGCACAGAGGACGTCGTTGCCCTTGTGATAGGGAACCTGGACCGAGCCCAGGAACTTCACCCGGAACTGATCCACCCAGTCAGTGTTTTTGGCCAGGGCTAAAAAATAAGCAGGAAGTGAGGGGTTGGCACAGCTGACAGGAGGGGGCCCAGCCCCCAGCAAAGGACAGCGGGTGAAGAGTGCAGGTGACACTGCCCCCACCCCCAGAGGCCCCAACTTTTCTCCTTGGGAAACGGCCTGAATTGACCCTCAGCCCTGCCCTGGCTGGCCCAGATGTGGGTCACAGGGTCACCTGGCAGTAGGGCAGAGGGGCCAGGGCAGGGGCGGGTGGTACCAGGAGGGGAAGGACACTACCTGCCATGTGCTCAGGCTCCTTGGTGACCTCGATGGCATAGTAGGCAGGAAAGACCCCACGGGCACCAGTGCGCATGTTGTAGGCCTCGTACCAATAGTCCTCGGCCTGCAGCTCCACCAGGAGGGGGTCGTCCACCTCTAGCTCGAGTTCATCTTCATGTCGAGGCACAAACCTGTCCCCAGCAAGGGCATGTGAGGAGCTCCTCACCAGGATCTCTCCACCAGGCCCCGCTGGAACCGGCGAGCCGCAGTGGCAGCATTGCTTCAATATACATTGGGGTTTTTTGTTTGCTTTGTTTTGAAAGAGTTTCACTACGTAGCTCAGGCTGGCCTTGAACTCACGGCCATCCTCCTGCTTCAGCCTCCTGAGTGCTGGGATTACAGGCGAGCACCGCCAGCCACCAGGCATGCAAAGTGTCAAGTGTGCTGGCTCTCGGAAGGCCAGTGTCAAATACCTGCCACCTGGCAGTCCACAGGCCGAGGGAGGAAGTGAGCAGAGGCCCTGATAACCTGAGCTCCCGGGAAGCGAGCACTAAGCTGGGATCAGAGGTGTAGGTTTGGGTGGGCACAGACGTCCCCTTTTGCGCAGGGCACCTTGTCGTCACAGTCTTGGTTTCCCTGGACCCCTGGTCTGAGTTTAGCGGGTGAACACTGTCCCAGGGGCTGAGTGGGTGCCCATGGCCGAGTGGCCATAGCAGTGGCAGGAAGGGTGGCCCTACCTGAAGATGGCCCGGTGGGTTTGCTCCTGTTCCTCGCCGTTGATGACACAGGAGAACAGCCCGAAGGACTCGGCACCTGCGGTGAGGGTTGGGGCTGCAGGAGGGAGGCTGGTGCCGGAACCCCGGGATCAGGTGGGGCTCCAGGACACCACAGCCGCCACTGCCCACCGAGCCCCAGATGACTCACTGGAGGAGCGCGAGCGGCCACTCATGAAGACATTCAGGAACTTCTTGGAGAAGTGGACGCCGGGCTCGTCGGGCGTGGAGTCCTCCGAGAGGCCGGTGGGGGGCCGGGGCCGGGGTGCCTCCTCGTACTCCTCCCCGATGGCCGACTCGTAGGGTGACGAGGCGGATGCGCAGTTGTCGTAGACGGTGGCCGAGTCGCTCTCGTCGCTGTAGTCTCCGAAGCAGGGCCGCAGG